AGCGGGCGCATGCCTACCTTTGGATCCAACCTAACGTAGATATTGTTGGGCTCCAAACCCACTAGGTCATAGCAAGCTTCATACGACAGTTCGTTGCTCCAGTCCTGCAAGCGAAAATAATCAGTAGCACTGAAGTTCGTTCCCGAAAGAAATTCACGTCTGGAGAGAAGAAACATCACCAACCAGATTGGGATTGTACATTCCATGCAAATCCATATACCACTTACTCAGCGCTTCATAGGTGAGACATTTTTTGAGTGCTTCAGGATCTGAGAAGATTATGCTCATGTGAAATTCAAACAATCGCTACTGAATGCCACAATTTATCAAAAGTTGCACAAGTTCTAAAACGGAAACACCAGAACTCACATTCAACGCTGGCGTTCACTACTAGGAAGCACAATCCTAAGAGAACGAACAACATATTGATTGCGATGATTTCTGCCGGATTTCCTCTCCTTTTATGCGTCCGGTTGTCAAGCAGCACCATTTACTGTGCGCTCCTTTTTCACTCACACATCGTTACACGTGTTCTGCACTTTATGGAAAAGCACCGGCTCTGAAATCGATCGAACGGAATTATTGTGCATGATCCGGGTATTCTTCATTGTTTGTGTCACCGTGGCCTACTGTTTCACTACATGAAAGGCTTCCATCATATCATGTGGCGATGTAGACCCAGTCTCCTTTGTAACTCATGGTAAACGTCGCCAGATTACTCAAGGGTGCGATTTCGTGCCATTTCGTTTTGCTGAAAATAGGTGAAAAATGGATATCGAAGAAGAGGACAAAAGAGATCGTTCCGAAAGACCGCAAAGGAGTAAACTTTTTCTGATGTTCGAGGAGAAAGCGAGAGAGTTTGTTTATACATATTTTTTCTCAGCTATGTTAGAGCTTACACTTGAACTCTGCCAGGCGAGTTGAATAGTGCAACTACGTCAGAATGTGGTTGTAGAGTCGTTGGAGGTAGATGGCAGTAGAGTAGGCAGAGAATATTTATTAGGAATAGAACACATAACTAACAGAAAACGTTGGGTTTATATAGTCACTTGAGATCATTAATTAGGCGCGAAGTAGTACCTAATACGGTAGGTAACGATCAAAAGTAGCGGTCATGGTGGGTGGGTGTGGTGGTGCGATATCTAACACCTCCCCTTTTTGAGCATGTATCACTACTCAACTCAACTCAACTAACTATGTATAATTAGGGGTGATCAAGTGATATCTAGTGGGGGTCCACCTGGAGCCGTGATGGAGGACGACGCGAGCGTGTCGATCGTCGTGTGTGGTCCTCGTTTGTCGCTGTTGTCGTGACGTCGCTTGGCGGTACTGAACTTGCTGTAGTCGGCATCGAAGTTGACGATTGCAGGTCGAACATCTCGAACAGTGTTTCCACATCCTTGTCGTTGTGCTGTGGTGGTACATCGTGATGTCGGAGGCGGAGCTGATTGGCATGTCGGACACAGATTTTGCCTCCAAGTAGGACTTTGTAGAGTACTCGTCCTATTCGTTGAAGCACTTTTCCAGTGTGCCATTCCGACTGATTTCCGCTGTATGTTCGTGCGTACACGGGATCGCCTTTATTGAAGGAAGGTCTTCGGGCTTCATGCTTCTTGTTGAACTGTAGTTGCACTGGAATAGTGCGCGTCTGCCTTTCCTGTGGAGTCGGCTTGAGCAGCGAGAGAGCAGTTCGTAGTTTTGCTTGGAGTCGTTCGATATCCTTGTACATTGCTGGGAGTGCGGCATAAGGTTTCTGACGTTTCGGACGGAACACTTGCTTTGCGTCTTCCTTGAGACGTGGTGTAGCTTTTGACAGCTTGTGTAGCCCGAGGTCGCTTTTGGAGACGTCTGGATAAGCGTCTTGTAGTTCTTTTGCAAATTGGTTGTTGCTTGAAGTGGTGCTGCTGACGTTGATTGCGATAGATGTTCCGGGATCGACTCGTGGAAGAGTGTCCATGATACTGTAGATTCCCATCTTGGAGATCCATTCTGCACCAAGTAAGTTGGGCCCGGCCGACATAGTATACCGGTCCTTGAGTTGAAGGTGTATGTGCAGCTGCGTTGACCAATGAATTGGATGCGATCTCCGGAGGCACTGTGAGCGATAAGCGACGGTGGCTGTAGTGGCGGTTTGCCCATGAGCTTCCATGTCGACTCATTGATGATCGTTATGTCCGCGGCAGTGTCCACTTGGAAATTGACTGGGTTGCCATCCACCATTATCGTTGCATATCGTCGGTAGTTGCCATCTCTGCTTGACACTGTGAATACTGCATCAGATCGCACGGTAGGCTTCGATGAATATCGGCTGGATCGCAGTGGGCGGTTTCGTCTCCTGGCATCGCAATATCCTTCCTTGTGACCGATCTTGCGGC